TATTTTAACAAGTTGCTATTTACCGAAGTAATTTACAGTACAAATTTGCTAGGCTGTTACCAGAATACACAATGCATGTGAGCCTAGGCCTTAAATGGCATACCCATAACAACTGCAAAGACATTGTACTTTTTATCATGTTGTAACTAAAGTAATGCAAAGCCTGGATGCTGCTGTACAAGTACTTTACGCTCAGTGGCAGATAAGTTCCTTAATACTTGCACAGTTAATTTGCATTTTAGTATTGCTTTAGAAGTTTGTTAATGTGCACAGTATCGTAATTTTGGGCAAAAATAGTTGAATGTCATTTAAGTATGCGACTAAATGAATGTCTTTAAAACATCATGATGTTTTTCAAAGAGAGAGCAGCAAACTGCACAAACAGCTGGATGAGGTGTTGCTGAAGCTTGAGCCCTTAGAGAAACAGACAGTGGAGTATGAACAGATGAAGACAGAGCTGGAGAAAACTACGGTCTGTATTCAAACGCACTAATTTTTTACCATCTCTAGAATTCAAACTTTTAGCAGTTGCTACCAATACCAGTGAAATTCTCTGATTCTCTTTTCCAATTTTAGTACATATTAAAAACTCTCACTTTTATTTAAAAAGTGAAATTTTAATAAAAACATTAACCAGTGTTTCCCACAGTGTAAATATGATTTCTTATGGGATTTATACTAGTGAACAAATAATTATCTTGAAGGGATAGTTCACAAAAAAATATATATATTTTTGACAAAAAAGTGAATTTTTTTACTATTCAAAATTGAAGCTGCATTACCACGAGGCATGAGCATGCTTTGAAAATACATTTTTACTATCTACCTACTCACTGAGATTAAAGCAATTGAATGACTGCACTTTTGTGTTGAATTTGTTGGCACTCTGTACTACCAATACTGTAGGAAGACTAATCTAAAATCTAAGTTAGAGTAGTCATTCATTACAACGTTTGTAAAGCTGACTCCAACTGGACTGGAAATATGTGCATGTTAATTTCTCCTTTTTTAAATTGCGCCACATCTCTGAGTGTAACCGGTGTAAACTAGTAGGTGTGTTCGACTTGACGCGGACCGACTGTGCAGACCCATAGGTGTATTACAGTACCATGAGAGCTATAGAGAGCAGACTGCTTCGTGCACTTTCGAATCGCTCTCGCGGATGTCAAACACTGCTCGATCTGTGTCGCGCCTCTTATCCAGGGTCCTTAGCTGATGTGGGGCCCAGTGCGGCCGCACCAGTTGCACCCCCCTTAGGGCGGCCCTGAGTCGAACACACCGGCTAGTGCTGCAGGCTTATTGGCTCACTGACGCTGATGAGATTAACGCCTTAGGTATCGAAATTTGGTACCGAACGACGAGACGTTTTTCGATACTTGATGGTATCGAGGCAATTCGGTCGGTGCCTAAAAAGTATCGAACTCGATACGCAGCCCTATCTCTCAATGAATGAAACTGACTGTGTCTATATTATTTTAGACTATATAACATTAAAATATTATTTTCAAATTAGCTTTTAAATTATTATTGTCCCTGGTTTAATAGGGTACTCTTGTAAAAAAATCAGCAGTGGCTTGGACAGACTTTAAAAATCAACTCCAGAATGAGCTTCAAAGAATTTAACAATCTTGGATTATGTCAAATCATCAACAGTAAAATCCATCTGAGTAATCCACGTACAAAGAATGGGCCCCTGGTGTACTGTACCTATTTTTTAATTGTTTACAAATCGAAACTATGACAGATGCTTTTCCTTTTTTTGTTGTTTATTTAGGCCTATACTTAAGTTTTGTTAGTGTTGAATCTGACATTCTAGAATTGAAATTCATTAAAAATATTTAAGTGTATGTTGTGTTTTTCTCTCAGGAAAGGAAACCTTGAGAATGAAATTTTGGTGCTGAAAGGTCTGTGTTAGTGATCTTATATTTTAATCAAATTGCAGTGCATGAATGGAAAAACTCTGCTTTAGATTTGAAATATGGACTATTGCACATATTAAAACATATTGGACTATCATACATATTAAAATATGTAGCATATTTAATTATTTCCTAATCTCCATACCTATTCTCCAGGAGTGGGTTTTGTGCACCATACAAGTTGGAAATAAAATCTTAATTAAAATGTAATTGTCTATTTGTACACAGAGGCAAATTTTCAACAGGACAATGAAATCATTGTTCTAAGAAATGAGAAGAGAAGACTTGAAGAAATGTTGTACACAACACAGGTTTAAATTTTTCTTAAACATTATATCCCCTCTGGTAAAATGTAAAGTAAAAGGCTATGATTTTAATGTGATTACTGTTTTTACTGATTTTTTATTTTTTTTTATTAGCAAAGACTCGGCAAACTTGAGGAGTTGTTCAACAAAGGTATAAGATGTGCATTCTTATACCTAGTAAATTGTATATTATTTGATCCATTGTTTTCCGTCATTAAATGAAATTATTTTTATCTTAGAAAAAAGGAGTATGTCTTCTCAAACAGATGCTGAGCCATTAATTGACAAAGGTATGTATTGTCTAAAACGGTTAGACTTTCCATTGTATGAAGAAATGCTTAAATATTTAAAAGAAAACAGCTTGATAGCATGGCACTTGATAATGTTTTCTTTAATTGATCATGCTTATTTTAGGCAAAGTCAGAATGCTGCTTGAAGAGCTCTGGCATTGTGTGGAAAGTTCCCAATCGCAAGAAAATCTGTTTCTCGCTGGTAATCATTCTTGCATTGATTGAACTTTTATTTTTCTAAAATGTATTTATTATCAGGCGACCAACGTTAATTCTGATAGAGGCAATGCGTATTTCTTTTGTAGGAGAAGAGGCAACACCCTTGAAAAACCAACTTCAAAGAATATCTTCTCAACCACTGCCTAACAGTCCTTTAGAAAGACAAATTTCTCATCCATCTCCTGGAAATCCCAGTCCAGAAACTCTATTGCAATCTTCAAAACACTCCACGCCTAAAACACCTCCTGAGGTCAATAGGCCTAAATCATCTCAGAAACCGATAAAGCAGAATAATGATCAACATTTCAGTACATCAAGTAGAAAGAGGAAAGTAAGTTCAGATGTGCTTGAACATGTGAACACTTGGACTGAAGATGCTACTAAATCTTTACTAAAGGAAATGACAGTTAGAGTTGGAGATGACTTGTTATATGGAGATTACTCTGTGGATTTGCAGGACATTAAAGAGTGGTTCAAGCCTTTGCCTGCAGCTTTATCTCCTGTGCATAGCCCCTCAACAGAGCTGGTAAGTTAGAATTTGTTTCAATTACATTGTAATGCTCAAGTGATTCAATTTCAATGACAGTCCTCCTGAATCAATTTGAGTCACTATGATGAAAGACCTGTGCCGGTACTATGATTTTTTTGAAAATGAGGACTTGAGGTGCTTCTCTTTACTTTTTTTTTTGCATCCTCGTTTCCTTTCCTCGCCTCCTTTCCTCATGTGTTTGCTCCACCCCCCAGGATGCGAGGGAAGGATGAGTAATGAGGGAATATGTTTAAGGAGGAATCAAAGGAAAGCTTATTTGTACATTGGAATATTCTTGATCACTCAAGCTTCACTTTAAAGCGTCATCTGCTGTCCCTTATGTTAAAGTTTGGTTAAAGGGGTCATCGGATGCAAAATTCACTTTTACATGTTGTTTGAACTAAACATTTGTGTTGGCAGTGTGTGTACACAACCACCCTATAATGATAAAAATCCACCCAGTGTTTTTTTTTTTTTAAATCCCCATAAACAATAACCCCAGATCAAGATCAGATCTCAGATCAAGCCATTCACAGATTCTTGGCAGAGTGATGTAGTTCTGCACAGGCCCCTCCCACGATTATTGATTGACACGGGTGCTTTATCACAGACCTGCCCTGAGTGAGCTGTCAACAGTCCGCTATTGTTTCAACACCGCAGTAGGTGTAGTCAAGAATGTTTCCTTAGCGATTGAGGTGTTTTGTTGTTGGATGTAATAATGAACATAGCAGTAATTTTTTACTCCCAACATCTGAGCCGCTGAAGATGCAGAGGATTACTTTTGTTTTTGAAGGGAAAAAGGATGGTTTTGTTACACTACCATTGAAAAGTTTTAACCAAAGTATGTTATAGACTTTTCTTTAAGACCCTGAAGAATCATATCAACTTGTGGAAAATGGACATCCGATGACCCCTATAAGACATTCATAATGAATATTAATAAAGCAAGATGTCCTGTTGAAATAGGCGATATATATTTTATTTAAACTGCAAAGATAAAACATAAATTAAAACTATTATGAGAGATGTGAAGGGGGAGGATAATTTATACATGTCAGGTTTTTCGTCAATTTCCAATTTTTTCTGGAACCTTCCTCCTCGCCTCCTCATGGTGCAGTTAGAGAATTGAGATGTTCTTTAAAGATTGCTAATATTTATCAGTTTCCGGGTCACAGGTTAGAGGACGGATGAGAGAGGAAATGAGGAAGCATCAGTTTGAGTATTGAGAAGCACAATTGGTCTTTGACTTTGCTGGTATTTAAATACAGTGATTTATTGTTGACTTTGCTTAGACTTTAGTTTATAATTTATAGCTTATAAACAATCATTCTTTCTGAGCCTTTCTGTTGAGATCAGTGTGAATATGTTAAAGTAAGAAATTAAATGTGCATTGTTTGGAAAAACATGTACATGATGTTTCATGAGAACACTTTCAACATATTTATTTTCAGCCCTCCAAAATTGTGTTGTAGAAATTAATAATACAAGTCAATTGTAATTTGAATTAAATAATAGTTTTAGCTAGCAACTGTGAAACTTTGCGTATCATCCCCAATATAGTGTTATCCATGGATATTCAACAATTATAGTCAATGGCAATTAATTAATTCCTTTTTATACTGGCTTGTAAAATGTGACTAATGATGTTCCTGTGTGGCCAGTAGTGGTAAAGAGATGTAGTATGACACTTTTCATTTGTTCTTTCAGGTCAGTGTGAATGAAGACCAACCGATGTCCAATACTACAGAGGAATATCAATCACATAATGGAAAACAAGAAGGACTATCAAGCTTACATAAAGCTATTCTTCAAAACAACACACAATTAGAACCTTCAGATATTGAGGATGAGAAGTCACTGCTGAAAGAAGAGGTGGAAAAATCTACTGTACTCTTGTCACCAGACACTCCTGCGAAAGTAGTTGTATCTGCAGATAACATTGCAAAGACATTATCTGACAGCCATCACATGGAGGTAGAGGATGTGTTTGATGTAATGCATGGCTGTATGGGCAGTACTCAGAATCAAACTGCAAAGTCAGGTATAGGAAATAGACACGGTGTGGAAAGTTCTTTAGAAAATGATAGCACACAAACTGCAGTAGGGACACCACTGATGAATCAAAATGGTGAAAGAACAGAGTTGAAGGATACAAAAACTACTAATAATCTTAAAAGTCTGTTGGAAAACTCAGATCTGCAGCAGCATGTTGAAACTGAACTAGTGCACCCCAATTCTGTTCACTCTGCAGAATGTGAAACTTCTCAGGTACAGCCAAATGTGCCATTGGCATCAAATGTCAAGAGAATTTCAACACTTTATGTGAACTATAGTAAATCAGACAGTGTTGAGAATAAGACATCAAAGAGTTCTGTACCACTAGAAATGAAGACTGTAGCAGATATATCAACACATGGAATTCAGAGCAGACTGGCTGATCAGTCTGAAGAGGATAATAATCTAGAGCCTACAGAATATCAGAAAAGTTTGGATGTGAGAAAAAATGGAGGTGCTTGCTCTTCAAGACCCTCAAAGGATGAGGAGTCATCATCAGAAGATGAAGGGTTCTTTGGTTTAATGAGAAAGGTTAGGGGTGTTCACTTAAGGTCTGAGGGAAGGATCCCATCAGAAGAGTTGGACCATGTTTCTAGGAATAAGCAGTGCTCCACTGCAAAGCAGATGTCCAAAGATGAGCCTCAGGAATTTCTTTCTGAGAACAGAGCATTATCTCACTCTAGACTTTCCACCGTGATCATGGAGTCTGAGGATGAAAAAGATTCTGAATGCCCAGAAAATGACAAAACTGTTCAAAATGTGTGCAAGTTACTGAGTCCCGAAATCAAGTTTAAGGGTACTAAAGAAAATGAGTCGGAGAGCCCAAGAAAAACATTGGTGCAAATGAAAAATGAATCTTGTCAGCAGGTAAATGGGATGTCAGCTGATACCCAAAGCCCCAGTGTTGAAAATGTTGTCAGTGATATTTACAACAAGGAAATATCAGGAGATTCTGCAGTGGATAGTCTTGAGGATACCAGAACACCATGCCAAGATACTCTGGATCCAGAATATACTACCTTTGAAAAGGGTGGCAGTATTTCAGTTGTTCCAGGTCTTAACACAAAAACCCATATTACACCAACCTCGTGTTTATCTCTTGGAAGGGTTCGAACAGAGATGGGTCCACCCCTACCTCCAGTTGTTATGCCACTGACTGCTACTCCTCCAAGGTTTGGAAAACATCACACTCCTTTAAAGCCTACTTCAGTATCCTCAAGATTACCAACTGATGAACCAACGATGCCATCTGTGCCTGTTTTTGATTCAGCTCTTCCAGATGCATCAAAAATGTCTCCGTGCTTGACCACTCCATCACCATCTTGTGGAGTTCCCTCCTCACCACTGCAGTTTGGATCAGCTACTCCAAAACATGCTGTTCCGGTCCCAGGAAGGCTCCCATCATCTGCCTTATCCTCTTCCCCTCCTGCTGCTTCACAGGAAAATTCCATGCAGATGCTAGATTCTATGTATCCTGAACTCTCTGCACGTGCCCGCACTTTAAACATACTCCGTGGGAATGTTAACCTGACCCGAGCTGGAAATGAGAGTGGTACCTCCCCACCGCCTGTTAACCAGATATCAGGAAATAAAACGATCAGTTCTTCATCCACTGCCTTCACCAAAACAGAGCAGAAACCAAAAAGGACAGGTGTAAACATCCTATTGCCAAAGAGTGCTAAAAGACTCAGACTTGACAACTGTTCACCTGCTCCTCCCGGTGTTGCTTCTCCTGCAGAACAAGTAATGGATCATCAGACTGTTATTAAAAGGGAGTTCATCAAATCGAACCAAGAAGAACAAAGAATTGAGAAAGACAAGATAAATGACATCAATTGTCAGATCTCAGAAGTGCTGGCCAAAGTTGGATTGTCCTGTTTTGATGTATTGCCTGTTGTTAAGAGCCATGTGTTCGTTGGGAGAATATCTCAAGTGCCAATTTTGACTGATGAAGAAAAGGCTGTAATTGCTCATTTTTGTGTGAATCAGGTATGCGTTTATGCTTTGCACAATTCAGATGGCTTTTCTAGTTACTGCAGTCTTGAGGATATTGATGCACACCTTTTTTCCTGTTTCTTTAGTCTTCAGCAGAAAAACTCATATCTGCCATTTTGACTAAATTAAAGACTGAGAAGAGCATTCTGAGTTATGATAATGTACAAGCTCTCTGTAGAGTCTACACAGGGATATGTCGCCAGATAGGAGACTATCAGAAAGCCCATGCCTTTGCATACAATATTCTCAAACAAGGTGAGTTTACAGCAACTTCTTTCATTATATTTATATGATATGATCATTCAGCCTATTTCTTTTTAGTTCTTTACCCATTTTAAATGTTTATATTAAATTTCTCAGACTCCGACTTAGACTTTCAGAGACTAATTATGTGTTCTATATGGAGTTGTTGATTCTATATGGATTCTTTACTCACAGATTTTCCTAATGCCGCCAAGCTAATTTTGTTCATGGTCACAACATGGCCAAGTGTGCTATTCCATGAGACCTCATTGTGCAAAGCCATTCATACAGTGACCAAGCTTAAAGCGGAAGATGACATTTTGGAATACCTGACTAAATATCTACACTGGGATAAGGTATGCAGTGTTTAGGGCTTTTTATTTTGCTTGCATTCTCTGATGGCTGGAGCTAACTACCATGATTTATTTCTTTACCAATAATTATTATTACAAACTTATGAATGCTGTAATTTCCATCCTGACCCTGTTAACTTTCCTCTGGGCATCATATGTATATAGAGTGGCCACATAACAGTGTAATGTTTTTTTTTAACCTTTAAATTAATGCATGGAACTAATGTTTTTATGTATTTGCATGATTAAGTTGAATCATTTTATCAGTTGTCCCTTAATATTTTCTAGAGTCCACCTGATGACATTCATAAATTGATTAGCAGCACAGTGAAAGCACTTCAAGAAGACAAAGATTTGACATTCCAGAAGCATGATCGTCATGGTCATGACCTTTGCCCAACTGCATGGGAGTACATACATACCTTGGATCTCTTGTGTGCACATATGAAGTGGAAATGGACACATGATTATGTTATTGGGTATATTTATCTACTGCATATAGAATGTTAAATCATTTTGCATCAAGCATACTTAATATATTTTTCAAAAATAATAAATAATATATTTGTCATGATTTTTTTTTTTAAAGCAAAGAGCTGTGGCCCATCATGAACACTTGGGTGACACAATCAAGGCTTCAGCAATCCCCAGTCTGTGATGTTTCTGTAGCAGCTGTTCTGCGATTGATTGGTACGTTGTTGAGTTTGCATGAAGTGATTAATACTGTATTTAGTTTTAAAGTAATTTTAAAGTTTTATATTAATTTTAATCTAAATATAAAAAAATTAAATCTATGAAGTTAAATTATAATAATGTTTTATACTTTCTAACTAATACAATTCATTTTACTTTCTAAGTCTTTAATTTAAATTATTGGTTTGATTCATTTTCTTTAGCTCAATGGTGCATTTCATAGCAGCACTATGAGTCAGAATATCATGAAAAATAGTGGTATAAAAATCCCACAAATTAGCCTTTTAAGAGATTTGAAATTTGTCTTTTGTTTGTATTCTTCCAGGACGACTTGGTCAGTTAGGAATGAAGCAGATGCTATGTAAATCAGTCCAAAATGTTGCAAAAGCTGTAAACCTCTTTGGAAAACATGGTATTACAGAAGGTACTGAACCTCTTATGTAACAACTGTAATGGCAAATTAAAAATATTTAAATACATTATGGTACTTTGCTTAGTAGTTTTTTTTAATATATAAACCCACCATGAATCACAATACAACCATTTGTTGTATCATTGCAGGTGTGCCCAATGAGGTGCAGTTGTCCGCTGTCTATGCCATTTATGACCTGGCACCCTGCAACCCCAAAGATGCCCTGGAGGCTCTAGCATCATGGCGAAGCGAAACTACACAGCCAGTACCCTCTGCTGTGACCAGCTGCATCACTCAGATTGGCTCCCTTTGTCGTCAAATTAAATCCTGAACTTTTTTTTTTTATCACTTTTTTTTTTATCCTCTTTTTGTGGTCGTTGGTTTCTGGAAATCAAGGAAATCATGCCGTTCTTGTACATTTATGTATGTTATGTAGATTAAAGAAAATAACTTTATACCATAAAGATAATTTGTATTGAAATTAAAAATGTTTTTGTGTTTCTATTTTCAGGCTAGAATTTTGAAAGAAAAAAAAAATCATTTTCTGCTTAGAATATTCTTGATGCATTATCTGCTTTTGTCTTGATTTGATTAGACACTTGAGACTGTTGTTCCTTATGTAACATAGCCTTTTATAATTTTAGTTCTGAGTATTTTCATGGCAGGTTTTGCTTTAAAAACAAGAGAACCTTGATCTAAAATTCCAGTTAGGAATTGAAGGTAAATCGTGACTGAAAAAGCAACTCGTGCTGTTTCGCAGACTTGACTTCTAAACCGTCTTGACTGCAATTTATTGGGAGCAATAAGCTGTGACAAGGAGGGTCAATTTGATCTAACAATACAGTTGAAATGATCTATGTTGGTAAGACATTTTGTTGTTTAATAACGGAACTTTCCAGCTGCAGACCCACTCAAATTCTGTTGCCGGCTGAACCACCATTTAGTGCTTGCTGTTATCATTTTGGCATGCTATTGCTTTAATTTTATTAATGTGGGGAAGTTTTTATAACATTAAATTAAAAACTCTTACCAGTTAAAGAAAAAAAATTATATATATATATATATAGAGAGAGAGAGAGAGAGAATTGGAAATAATTCACCAAATTGCTGAAGAAAAATAATCCTAGAAATTCCACTAAATGCTCGCATCACATTTTTATTGGATTGGATAAATGGGTGTGGAAATTGGAGGGGGTGTGTTACGCCTCCAGAAAGAGTTTAAATTTCAGAGACATGCGCACTCCAGCAGAGATGGAATGCTCTGGATTCAACAATTCGTTGGAAACCAGCTCACGTAGAGGATTCTCGGTTTATTTATTCTTCCCGGGATTTTTAAACTTATTCTCAGCGTCTTGGAACTCTTGAGGACGTCTGTTTAGCCTTAGACGAGAGTGCTTGTGAGCTTTGTAACGGTAAAGTTGGATGGATCCTCGGGTGGCTTGAATTCAGCTCGAGCAGAAAGGACCTGCCAACGCTTTATGGATGTGCGTATGGGAAACCTCGCAAAGGCGAAACCACTGCCACTCTGCGGGTGAATACACCTGCGTTGGCGGCCAGCTTTATGAAGCAGTTTTCGCTGGTTCCCACCAACACAGCTGGAAAGTCTTTTAACAGCAACTCCAATCAGCCTTATAATGATAGTGGTGCCATGAGGTCTCCAAACGCATGTTCTGATACTGCACCTCCGTATGTCACCCCTATCGGAGTCAACGGTAGTGATTCTTCATCACCTTTATCTTCAGGAGATTCCGAGAGTGACAGTCCGACATTAGATTCCTCATCCGCCACTGGTGATATTGGCGCAAATCCAGCCAAACTTCACTTTAACTTTACTGAACATATGCACAATGTCAGTAACCGTTTGCAACAACATTATCAGCGGCTGCAGACACAAATAATGATGGATAACCAACTTAAACATCCAGTAAGAAAGCGAAGTGACAAAGTGAGCACATATGGAATGAACTACTTTTTGTCCCACTCTAATGGCAGTCATTTACAGGCCTCTCTCATCTTTTTAAGTGGGAGAACTTGCACAATTGGTGGCTGACTAAATACTTTTATTGCCCCACTGTATGTGGGGCCCCATTGGCAACTAGAAGATACAGTCCAGGTGTCAACGGGTAAGAACATTTTCCCTGTATTGGTATACATTTTTCTCATTGATGTATTTACTTAAGTTGGTTAACTGAGCAGGCCCAGAGCAATGTGACAAACTGTTGAGCCAGAAAAAAAAACAAATAAGCAAGCTTAAAGGAGACATATTATGCCCCTTTTTACAATATGCAATATTAGTCTCAGGTGTCCCCAGAATGTGTCTGTGAAGTTTCAGCTCAGAATACCCCACAGATAATTTATTATATCATGTTGAAAATGCCAATTTTGAGTGTAAGCAGAAACAGCTGTTTTTCGGGCCTGTCTCTTTAAATGCAAATGAGCTGCTGCTTCCCGCCCCCTTTTCCAGAATAGAGCTGCGCCATTACAGCCGGTACCTGTTAAAAACATGTTTTGGTTCTGATTATCATGTATCTGAAATCATGCGTTTTAAACCATATGAGTAAAAATACTTCTGATATACCATTTTCTGAGAGCACACATCCGAAGCACACGGACAGAAAGCAGCCACCACACAGCATGTGAGTACTAAACTAAGTTCTCATTCACACGTTTACGTTAAAAACACACATGAGTTACAAAAACTGTTGTCTGTGAAGGTTAACAGCTGGGAAATAAATCGCTTGTTTATTTTAGATCTGTGTGGCAGCAGCAATATACAGTAAATAAATCAATAAATCCTGCTTGTCTCCTCTGAGGCTGGGACTGTAAATAGTGTTCTAGCTGTGCTCGTCTGTGCAGCCAAAGACAGAACAGTTAGCATGTTTTGCTCAAACTTTCGCCGTGGCATTAGAGCTGGTACACCGTTGTCACTTGCCAAATCAAAATGACTGCGCCATGAATGTAAATTTCCAGATTAAGGGGCTGTGATATTATAATGAGATCCTTTTGCCACATCACCAATGGAGCGAAATCTGACGCGCTCATTTTTTCAGACACTTGCAGAAAAAGGCTTACTAAAACAAAGTTAATGTTCTCCAGTTAAAGTTACTGGGTTAATCTTTTTCACGTCAAGCTTTTAATCTTTGCCCTAAAGGTGTAATAGATTAACTAATGCAGGTCTGTATAACTTTTCTTCAGTTACTATTGAGGTATTTTGATTCCATATTTGGAAGCACAAGCACCTAAGGGTTTCAGAGCATCTGAAGACCAATCAGCTTGTATGGAACGATATTCCGGACAATTTTCAAATAGAATAGCAAATTGTATTTTCAATTGCGTTTTCAATATGTGGACGCATAAATTGTGACATAATCCAAATGCAATTGCAAATCCTGCATTAGCGTTTGCATTTTCGCTTTCGCGAACGCACAGTGACGGCCAAATTTCAAATGAAAAAGCAAAGTCCATTTGCAACTGTATTTCCCATGTCTTAGGAGTTACGAGCCTGTCATATTTAAATAGCAATATTAATTACCAGTCTGCTTTTTCACTCTCGCTGCGTCGCGCATGTAACCTGCCAAAACTCAAATGGAATCGCAATTCCTTTTGCATTTGAATTTCCGATGTCTGCATGGAAAGCTGCCAATCAATGTGAGGGGGCGGGGCTATACTAGGGGGCGTGTTTGTGTTGGGAGGTGACGTCACTCACAGACGACCGTGCAGAATGCTCTGATCAATGGAGGT